TTTTTTTAAATAAAAAGTATCCTATGTTACTTCTAATACCTCCAAGAATATGTGTACAAAGTTTCATGATGATCGGTTAAGTAGTTTTCGCGTGAAAGCGTAACAAACAAACTTACATTCACATTTATAATATTAGTAGGGATTAAACATAAATCTGACTCTAACAATTGGGTTAAAAGAGTGCGAAATGCTGTAATATTGACTTTAATGTCGCACTTAAAATTTGGAGCGTCCCACGACAGAGACTGGCCGGATACATCGATCCGGTTATATAACTGCAGATGCCCACAGTTGACGATTCATCGCGATAGGGGATTCGCGGCCTTGATCCGCGGTTGATGTCCGCGTTTTTTATGCGATTCTTCCTCCTCTTCTGACTCGGTGCTTCCCTGCAAGGACGGTGACCATTGGAAAGTTGGTCGATTTCGTGACTGGCAGGCGGCTGCTGGTTCGTTGTCGGCTTCCCATCGGTCGTCCTCGATGTGGTCCATCTCGTCTCCATCATCAGGGGGCGCTTTTTCGGTGATTTGCGGCGTCTCGCAGGTGGATTGGAAACATCGTCGATTTTTGCAATTGCTTGGCTCGGCTTAACTGCGGCTCTGCGATGCGGGAAATCTGAAACGGAGTCGGTTTTGTTTGTTTCCGTGGATACTGGTTCATCTCGCCTCGAGGCGGCTGGATGGTGGCTGGATTCGAAACCTTGTCGATTTCTTCTCTTTCTACCCTGGCGGTGATATCGTCTTCGAGAATGGAAACGTTGTGCAAATTATGACTCTTGACTTTATTTGTGATACTGGATATCGGACTTAGAGTGTTGTCCTGGATTTTCGGACTTGGAATGGAAACCTTGTCGAAAATTCTACTTTTGCTTCGAACGTCGACTTTGGCTTCGGGGTTGGAAACGTTATGGAATTTAATGCTTTGACTTTGGTTTTCTATGCTAGAAACCGGACTTAGAGCTTGGTACTGGATTTTTGGGTTTGGATTGGAAACATAGTTGAAATTTTTACTTTCGCTTCTGACAGCGGCTTC